TTCATTCTGCAAATACTAGGGATGTTAATGTGGTGGTTTCCCGTTTCCTTCCACATCGCAGTACTGTAGTCGTGGAGATGTCTTCTATCATCGCCTACAGCTATTTGGTATGCAGCTGTACTAGCCCTTTTGGCCTCCACCTGCATCCAATACTGGATAAGCTGTTGCCCTCATCCAGTCCCTTTTAACCGCCTCTTACGGTTAGCAGGGAATACTCTGGGTCTATTCTTTCCCGGAACCCAGACGGGTCAAATAAACAATCTAAATTTGATAAATTAATGTCTTCACCTAGCCACCCTCAAAGCCGCGCACCTCTGCGCCTGTGTCAGCAGGTTCTTCGGCTTTTGTACTTGGCGAACGCTGTCTGCCCACACCTGGGCGCCATACAGCAAGCGACTGTGCACCACACTCATTAGCAGGCTGCGCTTGGACTGCGAGGGTCCGCCTACGTTAGGCATGAGCCTGCCAAGCGCAACCGCTGCTCTCCTGGCTCCTGCAGCCACTATCTTAGTGTGTTCCACAAAGGACAGCCGCGTATCCAGCTGCACACCTAAATATCTAATATCACGCTTGACAGGCACCGGGTATCCTCTTACGTAWAGTCGCGGTGAACCGAAGGAGTGTTTTTTAGTGATGATCACGCATTCCGACTTTTCGGGGGCTAACGTTAGACCATTTTCCGACATCCACTGCACAACATCCGACAGTATCGGGTTGACCAGCTGCTCCAGCAGCTCGGTGTTGTGAGCAACGGCCACTAGCGCYACATCGTCGGCGAAAGCTATTAGCTTGGCGCCCTCAGGAACTGGTAACCGTAGGATGCCGTCATAGAACAGGTTCCACAGCGTCGGTCCAAGGACAGAACCCTGCGGRACACCACACGTGACTGACATGCTCAACCCCGCACCAAACTGGATTTCTCGCTCTGACATGTAAGATCTGAGAATGCCTGTTAARTATTCAGGTACTCCGGATCTATGCAGAGCCCTATCGATCAGCAACCAAGGTGTTGAATGCATTTTTGACGTCGAGCGTCACCACAGCGCAGAGATGTCTGTTCTGCACTGCACCTTCTCCCGCCGCACGCGCCATCCTCAGGACTTCTTGAATAGCATCCATGGTGGACCTAGAACGTCTAAAGCCGAATTGGAGGCTACTGAGGGCTCCAGTCTCCTCGATGTACGGCGTTAAGCGATTCAGTAGCATCCTCTCCAAGAGTTTACCCACGCCGTCCAGTAAGCTGATKGGCCGATAGCTAGACGGTTGGTCCAGTGGTTTGTCAGTACCCTTGTGCAGCAACACGAGCCTGGCGCGCTTCCACTTGGACGGAAACTCTTTCCCGACGAGGCAGGCGTTGAATGCGGACAGGAACATGCCTGGGATGCGTCTCGCTGCTATCCTGATGACTTCATTGGGGATGGAGTCGGGGCCCGGTGCCTTGCCCAGAGGCAGCTTATCGATCGCCCGCACTAGTTCGTCCACCGTAAACAGTGGGGTTGAGACCTCAGGAAGTGGAATCAGCTYAGTGGAGGCACAAGGCGTTGCCGGAACCAGTCCCCAATCCACTGGTGGTAGAGTGGGGAAAAGACCGTGAGCAATCAAGGACATCGCCTGTTCGTCGATCGCGGGTTGGCGGCGCCCTAGACGCTTGGTAACTATCCTGTAAGGGACGCCCCAGGGGTCACCATCCACAGAGTTACATAGCTCCCGCCAGGATCTCTCCTGCGCCCTCCTGATGACAATTCTCAGCTCCTTCCTGGCTCGGTTATAGGCCTCGAAAGCTGCCTCGCGGCCAGATACTTCAGCTCTGCGTCCGGCTCGTTGGTACCTCCTGCGAGCAGCAATAGCGGCTTTCCGCATCTTCGCAATGTCTTCGTTCCACCAATGGACCGTCCTCCTACCCTGAAACACCGATCTCCTCGGCATTGCAGCGTTGCAGGCCCRTGTAAGGAATTCCTGAAGACGGTTCGAATGTTCCTCTGCTGATGCATCCTCTGAGGGGAAAGGTGGGTTGCCCATGCTATCCAGGTGAGCGTTGATGGCTTCCAGCGACAGTTTCTTAGTAGCCCAACCTGCAAGGCGAACTGCTCTATTTTCCGCTGCGGGTCTGAATACCTCCGATTTCTGCACTGAGTACTCAATGTATTCATGGTCACTGGCGGTGTAGCAGCCTGTGATGACGGACCAACCTGTGACAAAGGGCCRGTTTTCTCTGGATCGCGCGAAGGTGACATCAATCACAGACTGTGCGTTGACTCTCCTGTAGGTCGGTGTGGAGCCCACGTTACAGACCGCGAGTTCGAGTGACGCCGCGAAGTCAGACAGRAGCGATCCCCTTCTGTCATCCGTGGCCGWACCCCATTCAGCGGAATGGGAGTTGAAATCCCCAGCCACGATGATGTCCAGTTCCGCGACGGCTTGGCTCCTTATCGACGCTTCGAGATCGCTGATGAACTGATCGAACTCTAGGAGTGTGCAGTTCGGAGTAAARTAGCAACTGTAGTACAGCGTACTACCTAACCTGGCCCACGCGAAGCCGACCCCAGAGCCCCTGTCGGAKATGTAGGCTGCTGATCTGCTAGCGACGTAGATGGCACACTTKCCGTCCGYGCTGGTGACCCATTGCTGCTTGTCACCCATCTGGCGGTTGTAGTCACTGACGATGACCATGTCTGTACCGCGTTCTGCAATGGTTTGCAGAAGCAACTGTTGGGCCGCCCAGCAGTGATTCAGGTTCACCTRCAGRACCTTCATCACCGKCGACGATGCTGTCGTCAAGGGCATGGYTGTGAGGAAGACGCTTTGTCCTGCGCATCAGCGCGCGGACCTTGATCCATCTCTCCTGGTTGGAGCTTGCACGAAGCGATTAGATGCCCAACAGCTTTGCATCTAAAGCACTTCCTTTTTTCCTCGCCCTTGCAGTCCTTGGCCRCATGTTCCGGTGAGGAGCACCGAGCGCAACCCATGGGTCTGGCCGCAAGTTCTTTTATGCGACATATCGCCCAGCCGATCCTCAGTTTCCTGAGGCGAGCGAGKTTAAGCCCTGAGGAGACCGGGACTCTGACTATCGCTGTTCTCACYCCGTTCGGACCCTCGCGGATTTTAACTTCGTTTGAAGCCTTAAGTTCCGGGTCGTGAGCCTCCAACGTGCTCATCAGCTCAGCTTCATCGACAGAGTCCTYGATGCCAATGRGGATGAGGGCAACACTCGGATTTGGKCGTCTGATGCCCCTAGAGTCGCCAAGGCGGCGTTTAAGGACAAATGCCAAGCTGTCCGCTTGGTCCTTGTCGAGTGTTTCCAAGACCAGATTGCCGGACTTGGCTCTCCTTGTCGATATCTCGAATGTGAGAGATTCCTCACGGACGGTCTCCTTCACCTCCCTAACAATGTCAGCGTAGGTCTTGCCCGCCGGCTTCTCCAGCACCACTGCCTGCGTTCTGGGAGGGCGCCTGCGTTTCGCTCCGGAAGTCTTTGCCGGTTGCGATGCAGTGGTGTCCACTTTCATTGCATCATTATTCGGGACCTTATCTGATCCCCTCTTGCCTTTTCGTTTCTTGCTGGTGACGACTTTAAAATCTGTTTCGTCCGTCCGCGGTTCATGTGGTTGCTGTTGTTKCAGCAGATCGGCGTGATCGCTCGAGTGCGGCTGGCGGCTCCACTGCTGCTGCCGYTGACGCGCCCTCTTCCCCTTTGAACCTCCATTGTTCTCGTCCCCGGGACATTCCATTGGTTCCATCTGCTGTGGGGTAGGGCTGCCAAGGTCCCACCAGCAGGGGGTTTGTGTCTCCATCACAAACGTCGCGGGCAGTGCCCCGTCGGTTTGGCACGACGCGTTGACGCCTTGGCCGCTCGATGCCGGACGCTTCTTGTTTGTCTCGAGAGCCAGCATATTGATTGCTGTCACGTTGGAGGCACGAATGACCTTGTCTCGGCTCTCCTTGAGGCCACTTACCACGGCCAGTAGATCCAAGACAGCATTCTTAACTGTTTGGCTGCGKCTTCTCTCAAGGATAGCCTCAAGAGCTKYRGCCTTCTGAATCAGCAGTTTGAGACCCCCGTCCTGGGTCTTGATGTTTGCGTTTAGTGCCTTGACGCTTTTTGAAAGCTTTGTCATTTCACCCTCCGAGCCCAGAAGGTTACCAACAGTGTTGTCCATATCATAACCATTTTCTCCGAT